CGAAGGCGCCCATACACACAAGATCAAGTCCACTGCTGTCTACCCATGTTCCCTCGCCTTTTCCTCATGAACAGCTTCGACAATTGCAGGCCGATGACTCTTTCGTTTCGGAGGATTTTTTTGTTTCGTCTGAAGAGCAAGTGGCAGAACCTCCACAAGCTGCAGAGTCCGAAAGCGACTCGCGTGGCATACCTGTGAGTTGCGAAGATTTCACTCCGAAGTTTCACTCATTTTGTGAAGGGCGACGTAATGCCTTCAATTGCGTTGGTTCAAAGGTCGTGCTTGATGACATTAAACAACTTGTTATCCGTCCCAACGGGGTGGAATCCCATTGTTCCCGACCGTCGACACTCCATGCCATCCAGCCCGCACAATACCACATTTCCACAAGGCGAGGCTGAATCATCGTCCTCTGCCTTGCATACCCTTGTCATCAATCTTCGAAATCGTGGCGGGGACGATGAAATGATCGAGGCCCGTGATTCCGTCAATGATTCTGATCTCATCAATGAGCTTAAGACACGAGTGAAATCCATCTCATCTTCCTTGCAGCCCAGTGAAGCGATTCTTGCGAAATCTCTCGTCTCTTTACTGTCAAACCTCAACAGACTCTCTGTTATTCAATCAGGCATGCACCTAACCACTCTTGAAACGCCCGAGCCAGAGTCTTCCCGCCAATACGACGAGCCCCCTCCAATTGATCATTTTGACGCACTCAAGCGTCAGCTCAATGAGTTGCAGACAGAACGTCTAGTCTCTCAGGGTGGAATGTCCACTCCGGGCATACCTACCACCCTTGAGGTCGAAGTCTCCCTGTTATGGACAAGAATCGATCAAGAGCTCGAAACCGTAGTCTCAATGTGCAAAGAGCATACGGAGAATCTTCCGAGATTTTTCCAAGATAATCTTCCCCCTCAATATGACTATGAGGACTTTGATTTGGAAAGTCCGCCCATTTACGAGCCTGGCGGTCGTAGCTCAATAGATGACGGCAAGGGTAAGACGGCACAATACCAGCCTTCGTCTAGCACACGTCAGAGCGACGAGAAGATGCGGTTAGACCTAGAGGCCATTGCAATGGCGATTGACAGACTCTACCTTGTTGCGCCGCAGCTTCACAATCAGCGAGTCGAGCTCAAATCTTCGAAGCTCGTTCAGATGGAGAAAGCTCGACAACAAGGCGTTTCGCGGAGTAGCAAAGGAAAGGAAAGGAAAGGGACGTGAAGGAGCTGGAGAACATTCTTGACCTTCTCGGGAAAGCTTCGGATAGGTCCCTCAAGGGTCAATCCGTTATTCTTGATGGTGGCATGCAGAGCAGACTAGAGAAGGCGAAACTTCGTGATGTAGCCAAGGTCAGTGATGCATTGATGATCCAATGCTTCTGATTCCCGATCTGATGCGTTTTTCTTATAGAGGGACGCGTTTGTTCAACAATTGGTTCGACACTCGGGTGCTGGTCGAATTTACGGCCAAGACGCGATACTGCATCCTCGTGTCAAAGATCCAGAGGCTCTTCTAAGTCTTCCTGAATTTATTCGAGAGGGCTTACCCCCAAACTCTGAACGACTGAAGGATCCAGAAACTCTTCTGACTTTACCAGAGTTCGTGAAAGAGCTGCCTCCAGTTAGGCAGGACGAAATCACGCTTCCTCCTATACCAACTACCAAATCGAAGAAGAGCAGGAGTCGAAGCTTATCTGCGCCTCCATTATCTTGGCTGCGACCCTTGTCATCCTCGAAGTCTAATTCAAGCCAGGGTAGCAGCTCTGGTATCTCCAGTGTTCAGTTGCAGCCAAAGTTCGGAGATCAAAGTACCTGTCCGTAAATTTCTCGCCCCTCTCAAGGTTTACGACTGACATTCATATTCTAGCCTTTGATGTCGTATACGTTGCGGAGAACCACGAAAACTTGCAACATGTACTCGTTTTCTTCACGGTGACTGGCGCATACCCTGGCGTTGACTTGGAAGCCGAAGTATTACCCCCATTCCCTGAGCATCCTTCAGAGGGAGGAGATCATCTCCTCATCAAATCCGGCCCCTACTGCTCGCTTCCGCTCATGCTCCCTGCTCGGACGACCCCAGGGAAGAAAGAAATTCAGGTTCAGAGTGGACACTACGAAATCAGACTTTCGACTTTACCCTCATCATCGTCCTCCGATACTGCAGAATCACCAACACCCCTGCTTGATGCTTCCCACCTTTCGTCGATGAATCCCACATCTTTCATTTGTGCCTCATGTTCCCTGCCTCTCATTCAATCCACAAAGATCGACCACTATCGCGATCTACCGTCGGAACATTGGGAAGAGCTAGTCGAGGCCTGGATGTGTCATACCGACCAGTCCCTTCACGAGCAAGTGGTTAAAACTGGCAAAACTGGGTTTTGGCCGGCTCCAGGTCAGGCACTCGTGGGAGGAAGCTATATCTTGTTCGACAACTCCGCGATGTCTACAAACAACCTATACCATGCGAAAGAAGCATCGGTACGTCCTACATTACTTTGCTTCATATTTTATAGTAGGTCGGATGACAAAGAAGACTGGCGTTGGTTGCCTACCAGCGACTGATGTATCCATTGTATGCCCCTTGCGATGCTATTGCTTTGGCAGAACTCGAAGCCCCTGGCAGGTTCTGGGTTTTGCTGGGGCTTTGGCTAGCTTGTGGATGTGCGTGGATGGATCAGCATACCGGTTGATACAACGCGTCCAAGATTGATTCTATTTCCTCGCTCAAACAACCCTCATGTATATAGAGGCTTCCGTCGTGAGAGCTACGCTTGAGGACACATCCTTTCTTCTTCTCTCTGTCTCTTATTTTAGTTTGCTAATGCCGCCTATCTATAGCGCGAAGACAACTGGCATCTTGCACGATGTCTATGCGGCGCTGTCTTTGGGAGATATCAAGAGAAACCTTCAGAAGAAGGCGACGTTCGTACAGCCTACCGAGTCCTCAAATACGCAGTCCGTCCCGTCAGCTCGACAGCCGAGTTAGTTGCTCCTTTCTTACCGAATGGCTCACTCTAACACGCGTTCAGGTGTTTGAAGATACCACTGTCTGCATTCATCGTCGAAGATATGACTGAATTTGTTCAAGCTCATGCTTCGTATCGGTTCATTATCAGCGATGAGGAGGAAGAACGGCCACGAATCCTTGTGAGTCCTGCCTGGTGTTTGGTTAATGGATCACATCGGTTTATTATTGTCCCCCCTCCAGATGTGGTTATTCAAACCGCGCATCCGCCTCGCGTATACCACGCCCACGTCCCGCGCGATTCCCAAGAGTGCTTCGGTTGTGGCCGCGAAGGTCCTTTATAAACTCATCTCACCGTCTGATGCGAATGTAGATTTGAAAAGGTACTGATTCTCTCAATATAATGATCTAATAGTATTGAAACCCTTTCCAGCCTCCTCAATAAATACCCAGGATTTCCTCAAGCTGAATATCTCTCATACCCGATGTCTATCTGTCGTCGCCTGGCTGGATTTTTGAAGCAGAGTAATACCGCATACCCGGAACGGTTGCGCATGATGACTGGCCTTGAAGTTGGTTGGCTGCAGCGTGCGTGAATTGGCCTGAACTTTCAGCTCTATTTATTTCGTATCTCTGCTCTGCGTTTCATGAATATCCATATTTCACCCTGCTTTGTATACGGTATGACTACTCGAAATTTAACAGTGTTCGATAAGTGTTGCCATATCACAACCAGGGTCGCAGATCTCGAGCAGGATCGCTGAAATGAGGTTCAATATTTCGAACGGCGAGCCGCGATGGTGATGGCACTTTAGAGTCACTGACCATATGCCGCGATCATGCCCCTCGGGTGGCCATTGTTCATAAATTCTCTTTTTGTTCTCTGAGACAACCCACCCACTGTACCTTAGCCACCTCTGGCACGACCGTAGGAGACCAATCGCCATGTCCACCCCAGCACTCCAAGAAGAAAAAGAAGAACCCGTCATCCCGCTGTTCGCTGAACGACCTGAATGGGTGGACGTCGTACCACTGGAACAATACGAGGGCGTGAACCCGCTAGCGCCGATCTTGTATTCGCCCGTATGTGAGTGCTCTTTGGGTGTTGAATGTCTGTATTGGGGGCTTAGATGACGGGGTGTGTGTGGCAGATAAAGACGCGACGAATTATTTCCGCGGGATCGTGAAAGTTGGGGAGAAGAGCCAGAGGGTGCTCGAGCTTACTGAAGCTGTCATCAGGCTTAATCCTGCTCATTACTCTGCTTGGTGCGTTCCCCTTTTCTCTCTCGGATGGGGATGAGATGTTCATTGATATGGTATGGTGTACAGGCAATATCGATACGAAACTCTACTATCCATCAACGCGCCCCTCGACGTCGAACTCAAACTAATTGACGAACTCGCGGTGAAGTACCTAAAGACGTACCAAGTCTGGCACCACCGCCGTCTCTTACTAACCATCACCCGCAAGCCCGCCCAAGAGTTGGATTTCATCACGCGCTCCTTAACGGCGGACACGAAGAACTACCATACATGGTCCTATCGCCAATGGCTGCTGGCGTATTTCAACGATGAAGATGAACTGTGGACGGGCGAGCTGGATTTCGTGGATGCGATGCTGGCGCAGGATGTTAGGAACAATTCGGCGTGGCATCATCGTTTCTTTGTCGTTTGGGGGTGTGGTGTGAGGGAGGGGGAGGGGGATAGGGAGAGGGTTTATACGCGGGAGTTGACGTACGTTCTTTTCCCTTTCCTTCTTCCCTCCCCCCCCCCTGACCACCTTGAAACATGGCAGGTACGTGAAACAGAACATCTCACTTGCGCCGAACAACCTCTCTGCATGGAACTACCTCCGTGGGATCATGGAACACTCGAAGACGCCGTTCGCTAGCGTGAAGGCCTTCGTGCGGCCCTACACGCTCCCTATCGACCCGACCTCCGTTGATATCGTGGATTTGGAGAACCCGCCCCCGACTAAAGGAGCCAACTTGCCTTGTCCGTCCGCTATTGAGTTTTTGGCGGATGTTTATGAGCTGGAGAAGAATACGTTGGAGGCGATCGAGGTTAGTAGGGTGTTTTTGTTGAGTTGTCGTTGATTTTTTTTTCTGATGTGTTTGATGATTTAGCTGTGGACTTCGCTTGCTAATACACATGATGTGATTCGCAAGAAGTGAGTTTTTGTTTTTTGTGTTTTTGATTCTTTGGGGGTTTCTGATGAATGTGAGTAGGTATTGGGAGCACAGGATCAGGGATGCGCTTGAGGCTTCAAGGATCTGAGTGAATAAGAGAAGTCGTTCCTTTCGTGAGAGCTGCAAGAGAGAATCGGTTGTGGTCTGTTGTAAATATTGTCGTTCTTTCCCATTATTTCGTTCGAAATGTATCCATCGGTTTCGCACTTGCATTTGGGGTTATTGTTTACAATCTCATTGTTTTCGACTGGCATGCTTCTGACAATGTGTGTAAGTACTTACATCGCAACAAGTACTTCTGTCATTGAGATTTTTGCGAACCTGAGTTCTCTTGGACAATAGATTTTGTCTACCGGTTGATGGACTGAGAGAAGTGTTGAGAGAATTGCTCTTCCAGGAATCTTTTACAATTTTTGTGCAAGCAGCATTCTTGAAGGTCGACTTGGGTCACAGGTCAGTGTACGAACAAATACTTCTGTTAGTGAGGCGTACCAGTAATACTGTGTAGAAGGCTGTAGAAGGTGCTTCCCGGCGTAAATACCAAAAATGGTTCTTTGCCCTTTTAGGAAAATTTTGATCAATATTTCGTCCATGAGGATCCCAAGCTGGTCAAAGCATCGATGCGATACTAGTTTGCGCAATAAGTATGTACATCTGTTGAAATCCTGTTTTGAAATTCAATATCTGGGTGGGGGACAATAAATTTAGACTAGCCATAGTAAGTATTGCAGACGATGGGAGGATGGAGTCGGGACCCGACTCGGCTTGAATGAATAGAAAAGCAATTGAACTTTTCTATTCATTGTGTGAATTACCCATTCAGGGAGGTGACGAGATGAGCGCGGGGATTGGTGTGGACCCACAGTGATATACAATTACTGTAAATGGAAGATGAAAGGGTGGTCAAAGCTAAACACCTTCCGCAAAAGGCAACTTTTCAAAAGAGTCGACCAATCTCGTCGAGTCCATCAAGAAATTACAGCTGACATTGTCACGGCCGTATATAACCTCCCTCCCTCGTTTCAAAATGCTTATCCTTCCAAGACACTCCTCCGCAAGCGAGCTCACTCCGATACCAACAACGCCAACACCTACTACTACAATGATCGCCCGTCTCCACGCAACCTCCTTTCCCAAGCCAGCCTGCGCCGCGGCTACCTGGTGCTCGCCCACCGCTCGCCGCAGGATCCCGTCCTCCCGCTCCCGGTGCCCCAACGTGCAAAGACTCTTTACCAAGCACTGCAGCGCCAGGAAAGCTCGCTTGATGAGGGCCTCACGTGTCCCGCTTGCTCCCAAACCCGCCATCATCAACGACGCTGAAACTGACAGTCCCCTTCGGACACTGCAGCTCCCTCGCACACTCCTCACTCCCCAAATGCACGAAGTCGAGATGGCTTTGGTGGACCCAGAGTTGAAGGGTGTTACACCCGAATACGTTCGTGAACGGCTTTCCTTGTTCGCTTCTGAGTGAGTTTTCTCCTTTTTCCCTACTTACGTCTTTGATTCTAATATACTTTCTTCATAGAATGCTCGCGGGTCTATCAAGCCTAAAAGCACAAGCACCCAAATCCTTACTCCCAAACGAGATGGACGTATCCATCTCCAACGCAGCAGGTGTATGCCCAACACACATGCTCGCCGTTTATTCCTCCCGACCAACAACAACATCCACATCCCCACGCAAAGTCACATTGTTCCCTACACACCAACTTGTCCTCGCGGCGCATTGTGCCAACCTCCCTGCACTCCCCGCGTCCTCGGCTACACATACCTCTGGGACGAGTGCGACTGTTCCCGTGGTACCGCTTTGCCTACCGGCTCCTGAGGCGTTCCCGTTACTGCAATCGTACCTTTATACGAAGAATACGGAGAATTTGAGCAGTGTGCTCTTCCCCTCTACATCTACACCACTGGACAAAGTCGCGCTTCAACGGCATATGGGGCTTATCCACGGATTGTGGGCGGATGCGTGTGCGCTTGGTGTTGTCGATGAGGCTTTGTATGAAGTTATACAAGCGTCGTGGAGGAGACTTGTGGCTGCTGTGGAGGCTTCGCGGTCATGACCATGCTTCTTCCGATCCTTTTTTTCTTCTTGCATATTCATCATCATCATTGGGACTCTTTAGATATTATACTTCACTCTTACTATGGAAAACAATTAAGCAACATGTGTATGACTAGCATTTTTTTTATTGCATATATATTTTCTACCTTGCCTCTTTCAACCTCTCACAACGTTCTCTTGTTTCTTAGTGGGACGTGAATTCGAACACAAACAAAGGTAAAAATCCGGCCCGGGACTCGACAATGAACATTATCCACTGGGAGATTTGCACAATTACGACGCTCGAAGCTCTACTAGGTGTAAGGTTGGCGGGAGCTCCACGGCAGGATTCGCTTTTGTAATTCGAAGTTCTCGTGATAAGCCCTAGGGCAGGGTTACATTTCCCTCCAATTCTGTATACCTGCCGTGGAGCTTCCGCCAACGCTAGTCCGAGCCATAGCGTTTTCTCACGAATTAAAGCTTCAAAAACTAACTTGATAAATTTTGAATAATCATAAAATCCACCCCCAACCTTGCCCCAATATGAGAAATTTAACATGTCTAGATCAGCAATCTACTGTCTCCACTAATCCTTCTGAAGGTTGTCGAATGATTGTTGATCAAGTCATCATTGAGTGCCAATGTCTTTGTTTTTTCTCTTCCTCCACGTATTTTGTATTCTTCTCCACGTATTTTTTATTCTGCATATCTTACAGAACATTTTTGTATTTTTGGACATGGGTCAGTAATAAAATACATGAAGAATAAAATACATATGACATGTGAAAAATATATAGAGAAGGAAATTAGGGTTAGGGCTGAAAAAATTACGTCCAAACAACTTGGACAAATATACATAAATTGAATAAATTTGTCGGCACTGCCCGATCTCATGAGAGTTGCCTTACATGGAATGAAAAAATACGCGGAGGTTGAGGAAGATACACGGGGCGATGAAGAATGCACATTAGACAGCATAGTGAGGTATCAATGACAAGATATTGTACATCAGTGTATTTGTGTATTTGGTGAATGGAAGAATTGAGTTGGTCGGAAATCAAAATCCTGCCGTGGAGTTCCCGCCAACGCTACTAGGTGTGTGACTTGAAATGTATTCAAATTCTGACTAGCTAACTCGCAGAACTCGCGTTCCCCCTTGCACCAGGATAATCGATAAACTCCACGCTTTTGAAGTTTCTGGAAGTGCTGACCAGGCGCCGAATCAAGATATCAAGCCCTGAGTCCTGACACTTGGTTCAGATACATATCATGATCACGACACCCACGGGCCACGACAACCCATACTTACTCACAAGGCCCCTGGGCGGTTCCGCGGGCGCTCGAATAGCACCTTCCACACCCTTTATAACGCCGTGATCCATCGTGAAGTGAACCCACCGCACCCCACTTGAACCCACCAACTGCCACCACCACCACTGTACAATGGATTCCCCCACCACTCATATAGCTTCTACGTTGGACGTTAAACCGCACCAGAGGGCCCGCACTAAAAGCAGGTCTAGGCCTAAACAAAAGCCTGGCAATAACAATCCCAACCCCAAGTCTCCCGGCGGCAAAGGGGCCAACTTGGACTTGGAGGAGGGCAGCAGCGTCAATTTGGAGCTGGAGGTACCCAGCTTGGAAGTTCCTATCGATGAAGGAGGAGAGGATGCCTCGAAAGCGACTGACGATGGGCCGATCTGTTTCGTTGATCCGGATACAAAGCCTGGGTTATTGGTCACTGACGAATTAGATGCGGCGATTGGGGAGTGTAGAGCTAAAGTTGAGCGGATTTCGAAAGATTGTAGAGCTCGGAACCGGAAATTCAGGTTTGTTTGTCTTGTTCCCCGCCCAACCATCCAACCATCTAATCATCTAACTTAATAATAATGATAATAGAGACATCGAATTCGACCTGGAGAACGACGTCCGCCGATGCCTTTACGGCATCTCTTCCCCCGCAACGAGTGAAAACACAGGTTCACACGCGGATGTTCTCCGCGTCACCCAGATATTCGAGAATCCACACTTTTTCTCGGCAGAGGGCGCGGCGAGCTCGAATGATATTGCGCAGGGGAAATTGGGGGATTGTTGGTTCCTTTCGGCGCTGGCTATTGCGAGTACGACGCAGGGGTTGATTGAGAAGGTTTGCGTTGCTGTGTGTATTCCTTTTTTTGATTCGTTTACAAGGCACTGGATGGATGTTGATGATTGGTTCTCAGCGGGATGAACAAGTGGGAGTGTACGGATTCGTATTTTTCAAGAATGATCGATGGGTCGATGTTATCATTGACGAGTAAGCCTTTTTCTCCCTCCAACCAAATCTAGGACGCTAACCCTTCCCCACCCCCTCCTCCAGCCAGCTATTCACACAAATCCCGAAATTCGAAGAACTCAGCGACGGCGAAAAGGCACTATACCATGACGACAAGGCGAACTATAACCGTATCGCGCGCAAGGGGGGTAAGACTCTGCATTTCGCTAGATCTGGGATGACGGGGGAGACGTGGGTGCCGTTGATTGAAAAAGCGTATGCGAAGTTGCATGGGAATTATGAACATTTGAGTGGAGGTTCGGAGGCGGAGGCGTTGGAGCAGCTTACGGGGTTTGTCCTGTTTTCCTTCAAATGTTTTTCTTCGGCTGATCCATCTTTTTTCTTTTTCTTTTTTTTTAGTGGAGTAGCGACGTACATTCTAACCAAAGACATCCTCGACCCCGACCGGTTCTGGGTGGACGAACTTTCCCGCGCGAACAAGGATCGGTTGTTTGGGTGTTCAGTTGGGGCGATTGATACCTCGCGGAACGAACAAGAAGACGACGTTGACGTCCAAGGGCTCATTACGAACCACGCGTATTCGGTTTTGCGCGCAGTGGAATGTAAAGGCAAACGTTTCGTGGTCATTCGGAACCCGTGGGGTAAAACGGAGTGGACGGGCCCGTGGTCTGATGGCTCGAAGGAGTGGACGGGGGAGTGGTTGGAGGCTTTGCCGGAGCTTGGGCATAGTTTTGGAGATGATGGGCAGTTCGTTATGGAATGTGGGTTTTTTTTTTTGCTTTTGGTTCAGTGCAGGCTTGGTCTTGATGGCTTTTTCAGATAAGGATTTCTTGGAGACCTGGGCAGACATTGATAGAACCATTCTGTTTGACTCTACGTGGGTTATGACTTCGTACTGGCTCAATGTCCCAATCGCACCAGCTGGTCGCGCCTGGACGTACGGGGACGTTACTTGTGAGTTCTCCTCTATCCTTTCACGGCTGATTTTCGGCTTGCGGATTTTGACTTGCTCGCCAGTCCCCCTCTCGCTCCCAGAACCATCGGCGACCGTCATAGTCCTGTCTCAGCTCAATACGCGATCTTTCCAGGGCCTTAAAGCAGGCACTAATTGGAGCCTTGACTTTGCCCTCATCAAATTGGGAGAAGATAAACCCATTGCGCATTCTAACCACGTTTGGTACTATGCGAACAGCGTTAATTTGGAAATCAATTTGGAGAAGGGTGATTATGTGGTCTATGTCTGTCTTTTCTTCGTTGTTTCGCCTTTTGGGTTTCGCTCAATTGCTGTCGGTAGGTTCGCATTGCCCGCCAGGAAGACATGACTATCCCTGGTGCAGGTCCGCAATTTGAGGGTGGTTGCACACTTCCCAACTGTTATTGCCCCAACTCCCCCTTGAAGAGCCACTCTCTATCTAGGATTCTGTCGGATAAAGTGAAAAGCCTGTCTATTGCCAGGAGTACGTTATTCACTTTGGCTGCGTTCTACTCCTTGACTAACGGCTACTGTTATCAGATTTGAATTCGTCGTAAGTCCTTTATAAAGCCCTCACATGTTTCAACTCAACAAGCCATTGTTTATAGGAACTTTGCCCCTTTCGTCCCAACGGACTTGGACTCCCTAATCCAACGTGATTTGCAGGAATACTATGCCTACCTCGAGAGACAAGCCAAGGCGCAAGCACGAAGCAACTCTGATATAAAGAAGAAGATCGCCAAGGTGTTGAATCGCAACAAGAAGCAGCCACAGTCGGAACCGGAGGGCGTGCATCCCTTGCCGAAGAGGGACCACCAACAGCAGGCGGATGAATGGCGTGACGATGATAGTGATGATGATAGTGACAATGGTCCGGGGCAGGCGCAGCTGATGACGCTGGTGACGGACCAGGATGAGGTGATTGTGGGCTTGAAGGTTTATACGCATAAAGAGTGTCCTGCAACTGTGTTTGGGAGGTTGAGATCTGATTTCCATGCTTCCTGATTTGTTCCTGATACCCGCAGAATGTTGGTACTTGCTTTTTGTGCATGTTGTAGTTGTGCTAAAATTCATCGTCATTAAGATTCTTATATACTATGGGAAACAATCAAGCACATGGACGCAATACGATACCGTACACGTGACCCAGTATTTTTCAAGTTTCCTTCATCGTTGTCCTCTTCGTCAATGGTCATAAGGTATGTATAGATACATACCTACTCGTTTACTATATAACTTCGTCATCGGCCTTTGTCCGCGCCGCGTCGCGAATCACCGGTCATCTCACAGGGCCGTGTACTTCATCACGGTTAACTTGGACAAGCCGCAACTCCATCCCACACGTAGTTTCTTTTGCGCCGCCAGAACGGCTGGTCTCGAGCCTGGTGAACGGTCGTTGTGCCAAAAATATTCCAGTATCCACTCGGAAAATTTGCAGTTACGACAGCCGAAGCTCTCATCATGTGAGTGTGTTCATCGAAGAGTGAGGAAAAGATGGCCGTTGGTCGGTTTTTTTTTCTGTCAATGGGGACTTGAAACTTATTCAAATTCGGACTCTCCTCTCCTCAATTTTTAGATACTTAAATTGCTGAACTCGCGTTCGTACCTATCGCTCACAACCCGGTCTCCAGTGCCACGATTTGGCCACGATGCGTCGAAGTTTGTGGAAGCGCCGACCTGGCGCCAGCTCAATCAAGAAGCCCTAATACTTACCATGATCATGACACCAACTCGGGCGCCATACATAAAATAAATCAAAGGTCCCGCGGGCGCTAAAGCAGCACCTTCCACATCCTTTATAACGCTGTGATCATCATGAGTAAATTCACCGCACCCCCACCACTGTACAATGGATTCAAAATCTCCCCCAGCCACCCCTACAGCATCTACTTTGGACGTTAAACCGCACCATAGGGTTCGTAAGCCCAAACATAAGCCTGGCAATAAAAATCCAAACACCAAACCTGCCGGTGGCAAAGCCAACTTAGAGGAGAGCAACAACAGTTCGGAGGTACCCAGCCTGGAAGTTCCTACCGATGACAACCCGGAAGGAGAGGATGCCAAATCGGCTGATGACGGGCCAACCAATATGATCTGTTTCGTTGACCCGGATGAACAGCCTGGGTTGCTAGTCACTTCCGGACTCAACGCGGCGATTGGGGAGTGTAGAGCCAAGGTTGAGCAGATTTCGAAGGATTGTAGATCCAGGAACCGTAAATTCAGGTTTGTGTTCCCATCCCGCCCACCATCATAACTATTGAACTAAATAATAAGAATAGGGACATCGAGTTCGACCTTGAGAATGATGCCCGCCGGTGCCGTTATGGCGTCGCAACGAGTGGCAACGAAGGCTCACACGCGGATGTTCTTCGCGTCACCCAGATATTCGAGAATCCGCACTTTTTCTCGGCAGAGGGTGTGGCGAGCTCGAACGACATTGCGCAGGGTGCACTGAGGGACTGTTGGTTCCTCTCGGCGCTGGCTATGGCGAGTACGACGCCGGGATTGATTGAGAAGGTTTGCGTTGCTGTGTGTATTTTTTTCTTTTTTCGTAGTTCGTTCGCGCATTACTGGATGTTGATGGTTGGTTTGTTCTACAGCGGGATGAACAAGTGGGAGTGTATGGGTTCGTATTTTTTAAGAATGATCGATGGATCGACGTCGTCATTGACGAGTAAGCCTTTTCTCCCTCCAGCCAAATTCAGAGTTACACCCGACACTAACGACCCCCCCCAGTCAGCTATTTACACAAATCCCCAAATTCGAAGAACTCAGCCACCATGCAAAACTACTATACCACTACGACAAGTCGAAATACAACCGTATGGCGCGCAAGGGGGGTAAGACTCTGCATTTCGCCAGATCCGGGATGACGGGGGAGACGTGGGTGGCGTTGATTGAAAAGGCCTATGCGAAGTTGCATGGGAATTATAAACATTTGGATAGCGGTTTTGAGGGGGAGGCGCTGGAGGAACTTACGGGGTTTGTCCCCTTTTTTTTTAATTTTTTAATTTTAATTTTTTTTTTTCAACTGATGTAATCTTTTTCCTTTAGTGGAGTAGCGACATACCTTCTTATCAAGGACATCCTTGACCCCGACCGGTTCTGGGTAGACGAACTTTCTCGCGCAAACAAAGATCGGCTGTTTGGCTGTTCAGTTGGGGCGATTGATAACTCGCAGAACGGACGGAATGATGACGTTGCTGTCCAAGGGCTCATTACTAACCACGCGTATTCGGTCTTACGCGCAGTTGAATGCAAAGGCAAACGCTTCGTGGTCATTCGGAACCCATGGGGTAAAATTGAGTGGACGGGACCATGGTCTGATGGCTCGAAGGAATGGACAAAGGAGTGGTTGGAGGTTTTGCCGGAGCTTGGACATAGTTTTGGGGATGATGGGCAGTTTGTTATGGAGTGTAAGTTTTTTGCTTTTGGTTCAGTGCAATCTTGTTCTTGATGGCTCTTAAGATAAGGATTTCTTGGAGACCTGGGCAGACATAGACAGAACCATTCTGTTTGACTCTACGTGGGTTATGACTTCTTACTGGCTCAATGTCCCAATCGCACCAGCTGGTCGCGCCTGGACGTACGGGGACGTTACTTGTGAGTCTCCTGTCCCTCTTTACGCTGATTTTCGGCTTACGATTGTGACTTCCTCACCAGTCCCCCTCTGGCTCCCAGAACCATCCGCGACCGTCATAGTCCTGTCTCAGCTCAACCCGCGATCTTTCCAGGGCCTCACACCAAGCACCAAATGGAGCCTTGACTTTGCCCTCGTCAGACTGGGAGAAGATAAACCCATTGCGCATTCCAACCACGCTCGGTTCTATGCTAACAGCGTTAATTTGGAAATCAACTTAGAGAAGGGGAACTATGTGGTCTATGTGTGTGTTTCTCGTTGTTTCGCTTGCTGTTTTGCTTAATTTTTGGTAGGTTCGCATTGCCCGCCAGGAAGACATGAGTATCTCAGATGCATGTGCAGGTCCGTTATTTGAGGTTGGTTGCACACATCCCAACTGTAGTTGCGCTGATTCCCCCTTGAAGAGCCACTCTCTATCTAGGATTTTGTCGGACAAAGTGAACAGCCTATCTATTGCCAGGAGTACGTGATTCACCCCGGCTGCGTGTATACCTTTGACTAACGGCTCCTTTTTATTAGATTTGAATCCGTCGTAAGTCCTTTATACATCCTCACACGTTCAACTCACGAAGCTTTGGTATAGGGACTTTGCCGCTTTCGTCCCAACAGACTTGGACTCCCTAATCCAACGCGATTTGCAGGAATACTATGCCTATCTCGAGAGCCAATCCAAGGCCCAAGCACGAAGCAACTCTGATATAAAGAAAAAGATCGCCAAGGTGTTGAATCGCAACAAGAAGCAGCCACAGCCAGAGCCGGAGGGCGTGCATAGGGAGAACCCATCGCAAGCAGATGAATGGGACGATGATGATTTTGACTATGAGCTGATGACGCTGATGACGGACCAGCCTGAGGATGAGGTGGTCGTGGGGTTGAAGGTTTATACGCATAAGGGGTGTCCTGCGGTTGTGTTTGGGAGGTTGAGATCTGATTTCTATGATTCCTGATACCCGCAGAGCGTTGGTACTTGCTCTGTGAGAGCTTTTTGTGCATGTTGTAGTTGTGCTGAATTCAAATAATGATATCATGGGATGTATGCAACTTCAAGGAGCTTCTTCATCACAACCCAATCACAACCATAACACAACCTCCCAGTTGCGGTGAATTGAAACGACCTGGTTCGTGAAAGCGCGGGTTGAGGACCGAGGTCAGCCACAGGCTGAGAAAAAAAAATTGGAACCCTCTACAAAATGATCTCAAAACAGTCCTGGAAGGCCATCTCCTGCAGGTTTGTAATGCTAGTGCACTTCAAAATATGTAGATCAGTCCGAATCAAGTCTAAATTCAATGACACTGTGGGCATTAATGATCAAGGGGGTGGTGGAATGTGGAAAAGAGACCAACACTCGTTATTTTTTTTTCAGGGTTCTGCCTGACACCCCCCACCATTACCTTCCTAATAAAGTATGTTTTTCCCACACTCATGTTTTTTTTTTTTTTGAATTCAAAATATTTCCATGTAACAAGTCAACTACGCACTGGCGGTTGGCCGTAAACTAAGTTTAAGCTAAGTTGAGTCCACTGAAGATGCATATAACGGGCCTGTACTAGCATGATATTGAAAAAACTTGTTTAAAGACGGATCATCCTGGGTAAGTAGCTACACTGACGGCTACTGACAGTACAGAATGAGAGGGCATTTCTTCATTACTGTGCATGTGATAAATCTTCAAAAGTGACTCTTTAATGTGTAGGCCGAGAAAGAAAGTGAAGAGTCCGAGTGGTGTAACTCATTCAGAGAAGGAAGAGGCACTTGGCCTGGGGCGGCGTGGGGAGTGTAGGGTGTGTCGACGTAGGTGATAGTACTCTTGGTTTGGACCGTCCGTGTCCGAAGCTGGAATGTCGCTGCCCTTCAAAATCTGAAAATTGATGGGGTGTCACTTTTTTTTTTCGGCCTTCGGCCGGACCCCCCCCCTCCTACCCTTGGTGCGGGATCCACGTCCCGCTACCCCCTTGTTAATGATATTGAAGCATTCTGTAATATTTTTTCAATCTTATCTAATCTCTGCCAAGTGTCAATGTCACAAAACCCATCAGTCGAAGCTGGCACAATCAAAGAAGTATAGTCATTAAATGTCACAAGCTTCTGGCAAGTTGTTTAGAAAGTTGTTCTTGATACTAAGTAATTAAAACACCAAATGCCCCAATTGCAAAAAGAAATTGGATAAGCCAACATTGAAATATATTCCATATGATAAAATTTACAAGTCACTCACCTATATCCAGTATCATCTACATAATAGTACATTGCATTTCATAGGAAATAGTTTCATAAATTAGGTTTGCGACATATCTGGGACAAAGTGATCAAAGTGATGATGTCATATTACTAATACTATATGCCTGATTACATAGGTAGGTAGGTTAAGTCAGTAAGCGCTTGGTAAGCGCTTTAAAAAAAAATCAACCCCGGGTATATTTTTTGAATCCTAGGACCCCCTTGAACCAGTTCTAACAATTGGCAATGAGCAAAAACCCGTCTCTTCATCAACTACGATTATATGGATTAAGTTCTCGTCAGCTCCGCCATTCCCCCGGCATACCAGTAAGTACGACCTTGGTACGACCTTGAAGATCAAATTGAACCTTGACAGCCGTATGTACTCATAAAATCAGGCCTGTGTGGATGGGCGCTATCCGTAAATGGACCCACCACCCCTCACTCGGACCAACTACTATGAAACCGAAACCTCACCCCTCTTCTCCCCGAAGCGCCGGAACATTGGACGTTAAACGGCAGCAGTAAAATCAGGTCTAGGCAGTCTAACACAAGCCTGGCAATTCCAATGCTAAGGGAAAGTTTAACATGGCCGCGAACTTGCGACTTGCACCACCTTCAATTATGCGCGTTGTGACAGCACTTCCGATCGATCTAGTATGTGAAAGGGCGGACATCAAGCCCTGGCACCAGCAGTGGAGAAAGGTGACATCCACAAGGTCTTCGTGGGCGCAACTGACTATCCCGGAGCCGTGGTAAAATGCTGTGATGATACTTGGATGATACAAAACTCGTCCCTTCACCACAATACCAACCACATACCATGGATTCAATCCCCCTTCCTGTCGCTCCCCGGAGGACCAATGCGACCTTGGATGTCACGAACGTCCAGTCCGAAGCCAGAAGCATTGACAGTCGTAGCAAACCTACCCGCTTCAAAGTCGAAAAACCCAGCCCTCTTTCTATTCCTAAAGCTGGCACCTTGACGGCGAATAGCGTACCCTTGCCACCCCTAAGCCCGAACAGCATGATTTGTTTTGTCGATTCGAAGCAAGAGCCTGGTTTACTGGTCACAGACGAGCTGGACGCAGCCATCGAGGAGTGCAGACGAAAGGTGGAACGGATTTCTAAAGATTGTAGGGCCAAGAACCGGAAATTTAGGTACGCCCGCTGTCACCTCGTGCCTTGCGCTCACCGTATAATTCCTCAATAAATCAAATTAATAGAGACATTGAGTTCGACCTCGAAAACGACGCGAGTCGATGTATCTACGGGATTGGCCAAGGTGCAGGCGATGGAGATATTCCAGCCGATGTGCATAAGGACGTTCTGCGCGTCACGCAAATATTTGAGAATCCTCATTTCTTCTCGGCGGAGGGGGCGGCGAACTCAAACGACATTAGGCAAGGAGCCTTGGGAAACTGTTGGTTCCTGTCGGCGCTTGCTATCGCCTCTACAGCACGGGGTTTGATCGAGAAGGTGTGCGTTGATGTACGCATTCATATTTGTTCACGCTCTAGCGAAAATCATTGCTTATTATATTGTATAGCGCGATGAAGCAGTAGGTGTATACGGGTTTGTATTCTTCAAGAATGACCGATGGGTGGGAGTCGTCATAGACGAGTAAGCGGTTCACGCCCATTGTCCGCCCTCAGAGTCACGCTAAGCAGCGTACAGTCAGCTATTCACACGTATACCCAAATATGAGGAACTCGGCAAAGAGGAACAGGAATTATACCATGATGATAAATCACTTTATAACCGTATCGCGCGGAAAGGTGGGAAGACGTTGACGTTCGCCAGGTCAGGGGAAAACGGGGAGACGTGGGTGCCTCTGTTTGAGAAGGCGTACGCGAAATTGCATGGCAATTATAATCATTTGCAAGGAGGTTTTGAATCTGAGGCTCTTGAAGACATCACAGGGTTCGTTGCCCCTCTTTCCCCTTCCTTTTCTCTTTCTAAGATTTTTTTTTTTTCAGCGGAATAGCAACATTCCTCATGACCAAGGTCAATACCCAAATTTTCATAATAACCTTAAGAGCTGAGATAACAGTGTAGGATATCTTGGATCCTGATCGGTTTTGGGTGGAAGAACTCTGCCGCGCAAACAAAGACCGGCTCTTCGGGGGTTCCGTCAGTATGGCTAGCGAAGAAATATACATTGACGTCCAAGGGCTGATAGCCAACCACGCATACTCCGTCTTACGCGCGGTCGAATGTAAAGGCAAGCGATTTGTGATCATCCGCAACCCGTGGGGATTTCGAGAGTGGACGGGCCCGTGGTCGGATGGCTCTAAGGAGTGGCAAGGGGAGTGGCTGGATATCTTACCTGAGCTTGGTCATGTCTTTGGCGATGATGGACAGTTCGTTATGGAATGTGAGTATTTCGTTTCTTGGTTAGCGCGCCGTTGTTGATGGATTGGTGTGTCCTGTAGACAAGGATTTCTTGAATACTTGGACGGACATAAACAGGACTATCCTCTTTGACTCTACCTGGGTTATGACGTCGTACTGGCTAAATGTACCAGCCGCACCAGTTGCATCCGCCTGGACGTATGGAGACGTTTCCTGTAAAACATTCATTGAAAAGAGTATCTTATCCTCGTTTGACTTACGATCTCCCCTGCAGTCCTACTTTACCTCCCAGAACCATCAGCAACCGTGATCGGCCTCTCTCAACTCAATGCGCGATACTTTAAGTGTCTCAAGCCTGGGAACAATTGGAGCTTTGACTTTGTTCTTGTCAAATTGGGGGAAGATAAACCCATGGCACAATCTAACCATGATTGGGGCTTCTCGAGGAATGTTAACTTGGAAGTAAACTTGGACAAGGGGAATTATATCATCTATGTATGTGTTCTTTTCATTCGCATACTGTCATTTTGCTTACTGCGGAGGTATCATTGGTAGGTTCGCATTGCCCGCCTAAGTAACATACCCATCGACAAGGTGGATCCCTTGGTGGCTTGCGGTTGCGAGGATTCCGGCTGTGCATGCCCAGCGTACCTGTGCAGCCACTCTCTAGCAAGGGTCCTGATGGACAAAATACAAGATCAAGCTATCGCCAAAAGTAAGTGGGCCCGTCTTGGTTCTCTCGTCCATCTTGTCTAAGTGATCCTTCACATACTCAGATCTTGACACATTGTAAGCCCTCCGTGTACTCTCCCTGGGTCAATTGACGGAATTGGGTGCAGGAACTTTGCCGACTACGTCCCAGCGGACCTAGACTCCCTCATACAAAAGGACCTGAAACTTTACCATGTCTACGTGGAGAAGCAGTCAAGCGCGCGAGCACGAGCGAAAGCTTCTGTCAAAAAGAGTGTGGCTACGTTATTTCGGAGAAAGACGGAGCCAGAGCCGCAGGTCATGCCTCCCGTTCCGAAGCAGAAGCGGAAAAAACACAAGACGGAAGGACAGAAGAAGCGTAAAGGAAATAAAAAGCAGGAGGGAGAGAAGATTCAGGACGACTTGGAATCAAAACCCGACTCGAAAAAAACCGAAGTTGAAGAGAAATTGAAGAAGCTCAAGGCGCTTGTGAAGGACCAGGATGAGTTGGTTGTAGGACTGAGGGTTTATACGCATAAAGACTGCGCTGCGGTTGTCGTTGGGAGGTTGAAAACTGATATACGGTGATGTTACATGTAGTTCATTTGTTCACCAAACTTCACACGGGAAGAACGAAACGATGCAAGTGCAACCGTTCAGTATTCAACAATACCACCAAAGTTCGTGATTGGTACAAGTAGTCCGTTTAAATTCGTAGTTCTATGAAGATCCATAATTCTTGGTTCTACATGAAAATGAAAATGCCCAAATTAACTCTATCATCCTGGTAGACCTGGGCATGGGGGAAGTGGTGAGTATTGCCGCTACAGTTATGTCACAACAGGCCAAGTCAGCTTTCTGTTTAACATAATAGCATGGAAAGGTTACTCACTGAGTATGGAGCGATGTCATCTGCCACGTGTCTTTGAGGCCAACTCTCTACATCCAGAGCGTTTCCCTCTGTCATTGCTGCCCCCTCCTTCGTCGAGAATTGATGCTGCCCATGTTGCATGAAAGTTGAACAGAAAAAAGGATTTATGATTGTGATGTAGCCCATGACACCAAAAAAGAGGACAGCGCCGATGATCGGAATGGGGCCTACCGATAACCAAATCAGACGGTTCTTACTTCATTGTGATACGACTTACCAGCGAGCCCCATTGTCCAGTAAGCAAAGATAATGCTGGATGTGTACAACGCGAACACCATAGTTTCAACCTCTGTCGGGGATGCTTCTGGAAATAGGAGACATATCCCCACGCAGAAAAGTAGCTGACAGAGAGCCCATGAGAGTGCAACAGCAGTCCTACATGGTTGAGGGAGTGTTGTGATGAATGTTGGAATGAGGATGTAGACGACGCAGAGGTAGATGTAGGTCACAAGAGTAAGCAGGAATGTGGACAGACATTCACCAAGACCAGGACGATGCAGGATCGTGATGGTTTCAGCTGGAAGTGCCCCCCAGGGGCTTAGATCTCATCCCAAAGACTATGTAAAGGATAATTTTGATTGGAACTGTGAGTCAGTGACAGAGGGGGTCAACCGGTCACGGGCCAGGCAGCTGGTGTTGGAGTGAATACAGAGCAAAATAGAAAAGTTTCAAACTTACCGTGCCACAACTAAGGGGAAAAGAGGGTTCAGTTTAAAAAACTTCTACTCTATCGTTCAAAATACGACTAACCTGCGGAAATATGTAACCACCCTCGCGGTGCAGTTACTTCCAGCCTTCCAACTGTTCTCGGACACACATCCCAGGTGCGTCGGGCCATTCCGTGCTGGAGAGAAATGTTGTTTATATACGACCAAAAACATGTGGAGGAAATGGAACCTTGGGGATGATCGGGGTGCCCTGTGGGATGATTAACCCGGCGCCCCCAGCAGCGCGGCGAGCATGATACTCGGCCATGAGCTCTGTGGGGATACCACTGTCAGCTGCACAATTCCAGACAATTACTCGTGAGGGCGGAAATCTCGATGCGGTGGGAGATGGTGAGGTTACCAATCTGAAGAGGCGTGAAAAAGGCTTGCTGGGGAAGACATCTTGCGTTCGAATTGGATTTGTATTGGTGAGGGCCATTGTCAAAACCTGTTGAATTTACAGATTTTCTATGTCGAAAAGACGAAGACAAATGAGCATCGTGAGCTTCAACCGAGTTTCCGCGACTTTAGAGATGCGTGGTAGGTTGGGTTTGCGGTCGATGGCATTGAATATTGAAGGTGACAACCGCAGTTCTAGTTTTAGATTTTGAACGATTAGTCGGTAAGCGCTAAAGCCGTTACGCGTTACGCATTACCATTAGCGCCAGATGCAGTCATGGACTGTCGCTCTCGGGAGGGACGCATAACATGTCAGCTGCGGAAAGAACCAGCGAAACATGATGAATGCCGAGGCAAGCATTTCATCCATTTATAAGGATACAACTAATTACTTTTCTTAGTCGCTCATGTCCGCTAGCACTGGGTTTGACGAGTCTTTGCTTGAAACCTACACGGACGAAGACATAGTGCATTATATACATCAATCACCAACTCTCATTACAACTCGAACGGAGTCTAAGTATTCGTCTGCTTTCACATAACCTGGTCTCAAAATCGGTCGCATGGCCACAGGACCACCGTGACGAAGTGGCTCCTATGGAAAAGGCAACCATCAGAGGACTATGTCATCGTCATAGAACGTGTGCATGGCCAGACTCTCGAACAGCTCTGGTCCCAACTTGGACTGTGGGCCACCATCCGTGTTGCCTGGGAGCTTAGGTCATTTATACTCTCTCTTCGTACCATCACTGCACAGACAAGTGGAGGTTTAAAATCTGGAAAAACACGTTCGGAGTGGATTCATGGGATGTACAGACTCGGACCCACACTGCACGCATCCCCTTCCGTATTTTGCGACTACCTCAACTGGTGGCTGGTAAAAGCAAGGCCATCCAATTGTGAACCCCTTTTAAGACTCTTACTCTCCCCGCCACGTGAATATGTTGTCGTTCATCAAGACCTTGTCCCGGGAAACATGACCTTGGACTCAAAGGGTCGTCTGTGGGTTGTCGACTGGGGTCGTTCAGGCTTCTACCCAGTGTTTATGGAATACTTGGGTATGGAAGGGCCTGAAGCCTCAATGCCATGGCTCGCTGCACGCAATCTAACGGCTTGGTGGGGCCGTGTCCGCTGGTCTCTCTTTCGCCTGGTTGCCTGCGGATATTCCAGTCTTCATCGTACGGGACGAGATGCACTCGTTGTTGTACGCCAGCGCTCGTTGAGATATAAACTTGAGAAGCCCGTTCACTCTGGTCGTTATTGATCAACTCGGCGTTCATGCATCCAACGATTCCGAACGAATATGATAACTCTCAACGCGTAAAAACAACCTTGTTTGTGCACTCTTTGATACATGGCAGCGGGCACCGATGACATACTGCAGTATAATTAAATATCTGTTTTCAAGTCGGTGCAAGGTCGGGAAACCCGCCGTAGTAAGGTGGTTACAATTTAAATGCTTCTAGATTGATTATGACTGGTAAGGAACATACATTAAGTACATCTATAAAACAAATTATGAGGGGGTACTTCATATATATGTGAAAGATTCCATCTAGTACACAGCAACGGGATAATCGGTATATCCAACGGTCCAGTTCCCATCCCCCTTTCCTGGTTGCAAATGCGGTATATCCGGAATGTTATCGAGAACCTTTCCATGCAACACCCGCTTCGCAAGGTCTGGATGCGTTATCCAGTTGAAGCCAATGAAAGCGCCATCTATCTTTCCAGCCGCAATCAGAGCATCCGCTTCCTCTGCGGTGACGGTCGCGTTCAGGAATATCTTGGCGTTCTTGATGTAGGTTCGGTAAGATTCGAGCACGTCATGCGGGATCCCCCGTTTCTTGCCTTTGAAGATAAATATTAGTTTACGATATGGGAAATTCTGGGATAGAGGGCTACTCACCATCAATTTCGACATCAGCGTGGGGTACATACCGAACCAAAGTGATGTAAGATAGGTTTAACTTGTCGGCTTCGGTGATGAAGTAGCGGTAGGTGTCAAGTGTCTCCTGCAATGGCATACTAGAGAGTAGAGTGTCAGTCGACGCCGTCCCACGTTCGACTTCACGCGATTTAACTCACCCAACATCGTTGTACCCTCCAGAAGGGCTTAGTTTCAAAGCAACATTGCGACCGAAGACATCGACGAGGGCTTTCAGCACCTCGAGTCCAAATCGGGAGCGATTCTCGATGCTCCCTCCCCATTTGTCTGTTCGGCTGTTTGCCGTGCTATCGAGGAATTGGGTAATTATGTACCCGTTGGCCCCATGCACTATTTTCAGAGAGTCAGTAAGATATAGAGATGAACGTGATTAATTCCAACGTACATTCAACGCCGTCAAATCCGGCCAACTTTGCGTTGATGGCAGCTTGCTTGAACTGGTCAACAATGACTTGAGGATCGGGAACCGCGGTAGGCTGAACAGGAATTATCAGCATCGGGGCCATGATGCAGGATAAGAGGGTACATACAGTGACGTATCCTGAGGAACCGGGGACATTACGAAACTTGCCCCCTCTAGCAGAGATTGCCGATGGGCCGTAGACAGGCTACGATTGGAAAAGGTCAACACAATAAGTAGCAACCTGTGGAAAACTACTCACTGTTCCAGCTAACTTCTGTTCTGAGGCATCTGGATGGGAAAGTCGCCCAACTGGATGTGGTCATTTTAGCGTCCCAGAATTAGCACCTGGTATCAAATTCCCTTACCATGCCACAGCTGAGCGTAAATGCGCCCTCCGTTACTATGAACGGCGTCTACAATCTTTTTCCAAGCTTCTGTTTGTTCCGAATTCCAGATACCCGGTGCGTGCGACCATTCGGTCCTAATGAAAATAATATAAGAACGTATTGATATACACAAGGGTGATGCACGTACCCTTGACGCGTGACGAGTATACCTTCAGTAACGATCAAGCCAGCGCCTCCGAGTGTTCGTTGCACGTAGTACTCGGCCATTAGGTCACTCGGCACAGTGTTGGGTGCACGGTTCCTGGTAAGCGCAGACATGCCAATCCTATTCTGGACAGTGATGTCGCCGAGCTGGATAGGTTGGAAGAGAGAAGAATAGGATGTGATAATTGTCATTGGTATCGTCGAGTTGTCGTCGAGTTATTGGGTGGTATGTATTGAAGTTCTGAGTTTGATGAAGGGCAATCCCATTATATACTCTTTCGCCATGGTGCTATCCTCAGTCAGCTCAAGCGATGTTCTTTGTCAGTTTTTTGCGAGGTGGAGATAAGGGCAAGATGAGAAGTGGTTGGTCACGGACGCTTTCAAACGCTGTGCAGCCTGTGCTTACACACTTTATTTGGCAAATCCTTCTCATGTCAACATAAACCTCGTCAATTGCGTTCGTCAGCACATTCAACAGGTGTGGAATCCAAGTAGTAGCCGTTATTGATATGTACTATTGGGGTGTAATTATATACCATAACCCCGCTCACACATTCCAAATACAGAACTTCCCCATTTTTTTGAATTCAACACTACGTCCTCTTACTCAAATCAAACATAGCGAATTACTACCATCGGAGACTGGGTTCGAGTCTAGAATCCAAGTTGAATCGGTCAGTTGACAGTGAGCTTGAAGGTCAATCACATCCAAGTCCATTGACTCGTTCAATCGTGCCCGCCCCCATTCCATAGTTTCAAAATTCGGTCCTGACACTGCCAATCCGTGTATGAATTGTGTTGCGAAGAACGTCCAATGCGATTATCACAAGACGAGCGGCTCCTCCGACTTCCTGTCACCGCTGCCGCTGGATTTACTCCTACACCTCTTCTCGTTTCTAGCCTATCCCCTCCATATTATCGCTCTCAGAAAAGTAAGGCTTTTTTGCTGCATATCCTATTCTAAGAAAGGTGCTAATTCACCATAGACATGTAAAACTTTACATGAAACCACGTTGCAACGCCAGGTTTGGTTGAACACCCTCCGACGCGTTTGTGTTGCGAATTCCGTCTTCCCGCCCTCTTTTCCTTTCACGGAGATGACCTTATTGGAATTAAAACATGCTGCTGTCATACCCTCATTGTGGTGATCCATGGGCTCGGCCAATAAACCGCTGCCAGTAGGTGATGATCAGCTGTACAGGAAGAAGCGTATTTTTCGCGGACCTACCAACCATGGTGATGACGGTATAACTCCGTGGGGGCGTTGTTTGACCTATTCCTCGTTCCTGGCGGTCGATACCTAATCCTTATTTTTGACGACCTACTGAGGTGTGCGACCTTGGAAATACCCCGGATACTTTATTGGATTGCAATACTCGACTTCTTGCGTCTGTGGAAATCCAATTTAAGGGGCTGTTTCTGGTTCACCCCAGCCTAGATGGATCAGCTCTCCGAATCTGTGTTTCAGCTGAGCCCGCTGAAGACGAGCATGAACAAATAGGTCAAAGTGAACAGTGGGTCATGTCTTGTAATTTCAGCCAAGTTGTTCAGTTCAAATTTATTTAAATCAGATCGCACAATCTTCAGGTATACGAAATATATCCCCACCATGACCGGCCACAGTTGGAGTTACTCTCCCACTTTCGGATGCTTTTGAGCTCCTCCGCCCAAATATATTCAATACATCTCATTCAAATAGTTGTCGTACGGGATTATATCCTGACAGTCTGGGATTTTGTAGCCGATACGTCAGCAACGTGGCGCGTCATGGACAAATTCCATCAGGTGCGTTCAACGTTATGTTCTGTTATACCGCACATGACAACTTTTATGTATTGTAGGTCATCACCAACGACTCGATTATCTTATTTGGGAGTACATGCGCTTCCATGTGGAACATACCAGCTCTTCTGCCTCGTGATCGTGAAGATACCACCTTGTCACATGTGGTCGTCCCCATCATCAACCCACTCTTCCGAGTCAATTATCCTGAATGCATGCCCCCCTTTGGCGACGCCCTTCAGGCAGAATCTATGATGGAAGAGCTTTGGGATTGGTATGCGGAGCCTTGGTGTTACGACATTGTTTTCGAAAGCGAAGCTGGCTTTGACATCTCGCGCTATTTTGTAGCCTTCAATAAGGACATGACTGGGGGCACCATTGAAAGGACCGCATGCTATGAGCTATGACCACCCCAGAAATGGAGCCCTTCATCGAATCCTACCACGTATGCCAGGATCAGCTGGTCATGTCTTACAGTGAGGGATGCACTATCAAAACCCACACGGCCGCATTGTTCTCTCAGAACACCGTAATTGATGAGTCATTGATTCTAGAGGAGTGGGAAAGTGACCATTTTAACATGTCACTCTGTCCGTTTTCCGCTAGGCTTTGCCATTTCTCTTGCAATGAGATTCATGTTTACGACTTTCGTTCGCCTCTATGCTCGAATGTCCAATCAGAGTCGCGCACCTTCTCTGCCACTTTGGGCACTGGCGGGGTAGTTGGAAAATGACATAGATATGGCATTGGTGTATACGGCGGTCGTTACAAGCCTGTACAGCCCAAGCTTTCCCCTGCTACCCGGCCGAGGGAAATCAATGCGCGAGGGCTTGAAGGGACAGTGGTTGTGAGTACTTGAAAGTCAATACGATTTATCAGGGGTGTGTCTGTAGACGACATTAATTGGACATGAAGTAGGATTTGTATATTTATGTGTTGAGATAACTGAGCTGCATGCTGCTCTCCGCCTGTTACTGTGACATTAAAGCGCAGTGTAAGTATCTGTTTTCAAGTCAGTGCAAGGTCGGAAAACCCGCCGTTGTAAGGCGGTTGCAAGATTGATCACAGGTAAGGAGCATACTTTAAGTACATCTATAAAACGAATCATGAGGAATACTTCATATGCGAAAGTTTACATCTAGTACACAGCAACGGGATAATCGGTATATCCGACGGTCCAGTCCCCATCCCCCTTTCCTCCTTGCAAATGCGGTATATCTGGAATGTTATCGAGAACCTTTCCATGCAACACCCGCTTCGCAAGGTCTGGATGCGTTATCCAGTTGAAGCCAATGAAGGCGCCATCTATCTTTCCGGCCGCAATCAGAGCGTCCGCTTCCTCTGCGGTGACGGTCGCGTTCAGGAATATCTTGGCGTTCTTGATGTAGGTTCGGTAAGATTCGAGCACGTCATGCGGGATCCCCCGTTTCTTGCCTTTGATTATCGATATTAGTTTACGATATGCGTTGTTCTGGGATAGAGAGCCACTCACCATCAATTTCGACATCGGTGTGGGGTACATACCGAACCAAAGTGATGTACGATAGGTTTAACTTGTCGGCTTCGGTGATAAAGTAGCGGTAGGTGTCGAGTGTCTCCTGCAACGGCATACTGAAGAAAAAAGTGTCAGTCGACGTGGCCCCACGCTGGACTTCACGCGATTTAACTCACCCAACATCGTTGTACCCTCCAGAAGGGCTCAGTTTCAACGCAACATTGCGACCAAAGACATCGACGAGGGCTTTGAGCACCTCGAGCCCAAATCGGGAGCGATTCTCGATGCTCCCTCCCCACTTGTCTGTTCGGTTGTTTGCCGTGCTGTCGAGGAATTGGGTAATCAGATACCCGTTGGCACCATGCACTATTTTCAGAAAGTCAGTAAGATGTGAAGATTAACGTGAATAATCCCAACGTACATTCAACACCATCAAATCCGGCCAACTTTGCATTGATGGCAGCTTGCTTGAACTGGTCAACAATAACTTGAGGATCGGGAACTGCGGTGGGCTGAATAGGTATGGTCAGCATCGTGGCCATCACGCAGGATAAGGGGGTACATACAGTGACGTATCCTGAGGAGCCGGGGACATTACGAAACTTGCCCCCTCTAGCAGAGATTGCCGATGGGCCATACACAGGCTACGATTAATAGAGGTCAACACCATAAGTAGCAACCTGTGGAAACTACTCACTGTTCCAGCTAATTTCTGTTCCGATGCATCTGGATGGGAAAGTCGCCCAACTGGGTGTGTGGTCATTTTAGCGTCCCACAATTAACACCTGGTATCAAAATCCCTTACCATGCCACAGCTGAGCGTAGATGCGCCCTCCGTTACTATGAACGGCGTCTACAATCTTTTTCCAAGCTTCTGTTTGTTCCGAATTCCAGATACCTGGTGCGTGCGACCATTCAGTCCTAATAAAATTGATTTAAGAACGTATTGATACACAAGGATGATGCACGTACCCTTGACGCGTGACGAGTGCACCTTCAGTAACGATCAAGCCAGCGCCTCCGAGTGTTCGTTGCACGTAGTACTCGGCCATTAGGTCACTCGGCACAGTGTTGGGTGCACGGTTCCTGGTAAGCGCAGACATGCCAATCCTATTCTGGACAGTAATGTCGCCGAGCTGGATAGGTTGGAAGAGAGAAGAATAGGAAGTCATTGGTATTGTCGAGTTATTGAGTGGTATGTGTTGAAGTTCTGAGTTTGACGAAGGGCGATCCCCATTATATACCCTTTCGCCATGGTGCTTCTTCTTGATCCTCAGTCAGCTCACGCGATGTTCTTTGTCAGTTTGCGAGGTGGAGACAAGGCGGGAGAAAGTGAACCGCTTATCTGGGCTGATGCTGATTACACCTTAAACTTTGTTTGGCGAAACCTTCACATGCCAACATAAACCTCGTCAATTCCGTGAGTCAGCACATTCAACATCGGTCAGTCTCACCAATCTTGCCACTACTGGCCGTTGTGTAGCTTGTGTTTGATGTCAGTTCTACAGGTCTTCTTCTGCATATGTCTCCGCTTTCTTTACAGATATCATCCATGGTCACCTGCGAAGACTGAAGACCCCTTGCTATGGCACTTTCTGAACGTAATCGAAGGCGTCCCGAGCTAGTATTGCTCCAGTTTACTCGGGCCTAAATTAAACTGTGGTTTTATGGTTTATACTGCTGGTAAGGAATCCGGTAAAGAGAACCCAGGTTTTTTAAACTTTTGTGTTGAAGATCTTTCTGTGCTACAGGACGAAAATCTCGGAGGAATATGCCGCCGCCGGTGGTCTCTCAGAAGAGATGCGAATACGAGTTCAGCTATGCGTGCATGAAGGAGCGTAGCCGGAGTGCAACATCTTGAAGCATCCTTCCTTGGACAGGAAGTAAGTAATTGGGTTATAGCTTGCTATATCTGAACTGACGAAGTTTTGTGGATATTAGAAGCCTGAGGTAGACCGAACGCCGTTCCTCCTATGATGGGAGGGTGGATACTCTGAAAAGTAACATGTTTACAAATCTACATAATGAGAAGGTTTTACTCAACGTAACTGGGTCGTCTGGTGATATCGCCTATCCTGGCCCAACGCGCCGTAACTAGAGAGGGCCAAGGTACAAAGTGCTTAAGAACATGGATCACCCATCCCTTACCTCGCAGTCGCATTCTTCACGCTCTAACAATCTCAATGACGAACGCTTGTCTCTTCCAATCTCTTCAACTCGGCGACATCATCATTCAGAACAGAATTGGCATGTCCGCGGTTACCAGGAGACATGTACCAAATGCCATACCTAGTGACCTCATGACCGAGTACGACATCCAACGAACACTCGGAATGGCAGGTTTGATCATGATCGAAGGTATCCTCGTCACGCGTCAAGGGTACGTCCAGATCTGATGTCTTGCATACGCCGATTAAAATTTTAGCTTCTAGCACCGAGTTGCCACATACGCCAGGCAATGGGGATCCGGAGCAGACCAGAGGCATCGTTCATCGCGGAGGCAGGCACATCTACGCACAACTATGTTACGGTGAGATATCTTGGGGCTCTGTATAGACTTCGAGATCCTAAATAACGTTAACTGTACGCAGTCGGGCGGGCTGCCCGCTCAGTTGATCCAGAACAGAAACTCGCTGGGACAGTGAATATTTTGTCCGCTGATTCTATAAACACATCTGACCTCCATCCTAAGCCCGTCTATGCCACTTCCGCATTTTCCGCCAGAGGTGGAAAGTTTCGCCATATTCCTGGCATATCTGGATATGTCACCGTGGGTGCCTTGGTATTCTGCACGGTCTCTGCGCTGACGTTGATGTATATATAGCCCACTGCTGTTCCTGATCCTCAAGTAATCATTGACCAGTTCAAGCAAGCTGCTGTTAATGCGAAATTTGCTGGGCTCGATGGCGTCGGATGTGTGTTCGTTTTAGACCTCCATTTTCACAATTCGCTGACCATCTGAATCAGTGCATGGTGCCAATGGATATTTGATGGCCCAATTTCTCGATAGCACGGCAAATACCCGTACAGATCGATGGGGAGGGAGCGTTGAAAATCGCTCTCAAGTCGGCCTTGAAGTCCTCAAAGCTGTCATTCAGGTTTTTGGCCGCAATGTTGGTATCAAGATGAACTCTCATAATGGCTATAACGATGTTGGGTAAGCTCGATTATCTGTGTTAAATCTCGCTCATTCAAGCTTATTCATGTAGTATGCCTTTACAGGAGACACTCGATACCTACCGCTACTTCATCGCCGAAGCCGACAATTTGAATCTTGCTTACATCACACTACTTCGGTACATTGCTCATGCGAATTCCGAAGTTGAAATTGACGGTGAGCACCTGAATTTCTTCAAGGGATCATACTCAAAACCACATTCAGGCAAGAAAGGAACCATCCAACATGACGTGCTTGAATCTTACGGCCCCTACATCAAGAACGCCAAGGTCTTCCTGGACGGAGCCATCTCCCCGGAGGAAGCAGCTATTCTGATCTCAGCGGGGAAAATCGACGGGGCATTCACCGGTCTCGACTGGATAGCGCATCCAGAACTCGCCAAGCGGGTGTTGCATGGAAAACCTCTGGACAATGTACTCGATGTCATACATATGCAGGGGAAGCCGGCGCAGGATTGGGCTGTAGGATACACGGGTTGTCCTGCTGTCATATATGAGACGATGTTGTAGGATCCGTGTGTATGTGACGTGGGCGCACCTTGTTTCATGGAAGGTTTCGTTACAGCGTGTGGGTTTTCTTCTGGGCTGGACAGCTTGTGGCTTGTAAATAGGCATCTGCCAGAGGCTTATAATATACTTCCCAGTTACTAGCGAAAATTTGTGGAGGACAGCTGGATACCGTTAGATGAGCAAAGCGTCCTGGTCTTGTGGATTTGAAATTAGCACTTGAAGTGTGTGGGCGACTTCGGAGGCACTGTACCATGAGAAATCACAATACAGCTTGACTTCATCCAACAAACGTCGGTTACTTCATGCTCGTCGCATCAGCTATGAGGTCTTCCTTTTTCGGGATGTCAAGATGAATAAATTTCGCGTGGAGATTGTTTGACCTGGATCTATCGTACCTTGAACTTGAACGTCAATCACATCCGATCCGTTGACTCGTCCAACCGTGCCCGCCCCCATTTCGTAGTTTCAAAATTCGGTGCTGACACTGCCAATCCGCGTTAACGAAAATGGATTTTGTGGCGGAGAACGTCCATTGCGATCATCTGAAGACGAGCGGCTCCGCCGATGTCCTGTCACCGCTGCCGCTGGATTTACTCCTACACCTCTTCTCGTTCCTAGATCCCCTCGATATCATCGCTCTCAGAAAAGTAAGGCTTCTTTTCTGCATACCCTATTCTAAGGAAGGTTCTAATCCACCATAGACATGTAAAACTTTACATGAAGCCACATTGCAACGCCAGGTTTGGTTGAACACCCTCCGACGCGTCTGTGTTGCGAATTCCGTCTTCGCGCCCTCTCTTCCTTTCATGGAGATGACCTTATTGGAATTAGAACATGCTGCTGTCATACCCTCGTTGTGGCGATCCATCAGCTCGGCCAATAAACCGCTACCAGAGGGTGATGATCAGCCGTACAGGACTAAGCGTATTCTTCGCGGACCTACCAGCCATGGTGATGATGGCATAACTACATGGGGAGACACTCTAGATGACCTATTGCTCGTTCCTGGCGGTCGATACTTAATCCTTTTTGTTCACGGCCTAATGAGCGTGTACGACCTTGGATATACCCCAGATACATCAGGGAAAAATAACTTGATTATGTAGTTCTAAATAGCCACAGTATTTATAGTAGCCTGGTATACAAGTCCCCCCATATGTTGCTTCGGTAGTTCTCCCTTGCATTGTAGTAGACACCAGTAGTCTTCCCTTGTACTGCAGTAGATACCAGTAGTATCTTGGTAGCATCTCAGTTTCCCCCCATACTCGAAGGTAGCACTCAGTAGTTCCTGCCTACAGCAGCTACCTGATCTACTAACAATGCTTATTTTGGCACATGCTGGGGATCACGAAAATAGAAAATTGCATTGCGAGTTCTAACTATCAAACAACTACTAATATGTACCTAGGCTGATAACTCACTGTTGGTATCCCCAGTTCGGCCATCAAACTCCATTTGAACCCGATCCTTGGCGTCACCAACAAGCCTAGAAACGATGGCAGCTTCTTTGTTAACCACACCGGAATTATGACTGGAGCCGCAATCACCTGAGCCATCGTTGCACAATTGAATCTGCTGGTGCAGTTGGTGGGCCGTTGCAGCCGTTCGGGAGGGTGTTAGTGAGTCGTCGTCGTTGTGGGTGGGGCGTGTTCACCATTGGTGGGACGGGGTGCTCGGCCGTTGTCACTGAGCGTGGTGGGTCGTCGTCGCCGTTGTGGTGGGCCATTGTCAGCGTTGGTGTTGTGGTGGGCCGTCGTGGGTGCTGGTGGTGAGCTGTGCTCGCCGTTCATGGGGGTGCTGGTGGGCCATGGTGGTGGGCCGTTGTTGGCGTTGGTGTGGGCCATTGTTGGCATGGGTGGGGTGTGGCGCTGGCCATCGTTGGCGTTGATTGGGGGTGGTGGGTCGTCGCCGCTAGTGGTGTTATTGTGTGTTGCTGCGTGTAATTGTCGTTGCATGCAGTCATCGTCATGCTATTGTCGTGTGTTCGTCACCTTTCCTCGTAGTGTGGTTGTCGTCTCCTATCGTCGTAGTGCAGTTGTCGTCGTCTATCGTCGTCGTCTGTCATCGTCATCCGTCATTGTCGTCCATCGCTGTTGTGTCGTCGCCGGCTTTTGTCGTCGTTGCGTTGTGCCGTTGTAGTTGTCGTGTAGTGTCGTGTAGTCATCTGTTGGTGGTTCAAGTCAGTTGGGTTGGGACAGGGGTGCTCACCGATGGACGACGACGACAAATCTGTCATCGTGTAAGATAAATGTACGTGGTGTCAGTGGTGGGAGGGGAAGAAAGAACGAACGATTGTGGTTGAACTTTCCGTGAGAAGTCAACATAGAATCACGTGGCATCGGAGCTCGAATGGACTTAGAAACATTTCTGATTCAGAATTAGGCAACAGCACCGGTTTCATCAGCATGATTTCTATCTTCTCCGATACTTGCTCGATCTTCATGTATATTGTACGCGACATATACAACATCAATATTTCAAGAGTCTAATGCAATTTTCTATGTGAATGTACCGGGACAACTAATAATACCCAGGCTACTAATGGTAGTGTGAGGTTAACTCAAGCAACTCGAGCAACTGACATCACTTGATGGTGTATCAGGACTACTAGCACATGACTTGTAAACTACCAACGTCTACCACCTTCATACCAGCCTACTGGGTATATTGTCAGAACAATGGGGACAATGTATACAAGGGGCAAACTACCTATACTTTTTTTTCCCCCTGATGTACCCTACTGGATTGCAATACTCGACTTCTTGCTTCTATGGAAATTCGACTCAAGTGGGATCCTCTGATTCACCCCAGCCCAGATGGATCAGCTCTCCGAATCTTCGTTCCAAGTGAAGTGGGTCGGAGTACTGAGTGGGTCGTGGCTTCTTGTAATTTCAGTCAAGTTGCTCAGTTCCAATTCAAAGTTTCAGATGGTACAAGCTTCAGGTATATGAAATATATCCCCACCACGACCACCCACAGTTGGAGTTACTCTCCGACTGGATGCCCTTGGGCTCCTCCACCCAACTATATTCAGTATATCTCAATCGAATAGTTTTTTTAAGGGGTGACATCCTGACAGTCTGGGATTTCGTAGCCGATACGTTAGCAACGTGGCGTGTCGTCGGCGCATCCCATAAGGTGCGTTCAATGTTTTGTATACCACACATTATAATTTTTATGAATTGTAGACCATCATCGCCAACGACTCTATTCTTTTATTTGGGAGTACATGCATTTCCGTATGGAACATACCAGCTCTTCTGCCTCGTGATCATGAACATACCACTTTGCCATATGTGGACGTCCCCATCATCAACCCACTCTTCCGAATCGATTATCCTGAATGCATGCCTTCCCTTGACGATGCCATTCGGACTGGTTCTATGATTAAAGGGTTTGGGGACTGGTATACAGCATCGGCGCCTTGGTGTTACGACATTGTTCTGCCAAGCGAAGCCGGCTTTGCGATCTCGCGCTATTTGGTGGCCTTCAACAAGGACATGACTGGGGGCACCATCAAAGAAAATGCATGCTATGAGTTTATGACCACCCCAGATTTGGATTTCTTCATTGAACCCTACCGTGTATGCGACAATCAGCTGGTATTGTCCTGGACCGAGGGAGCCTGGATGGAATGCATCATCAAAACCCACACGTCAACATTGTCCTCTCAGGACACTGTAACTCCGAGGGATGATGAGCCATTGATCCTCGAGGAATGGAAAAGTAACCATTTTAATGGCATGTCACTCTGTCCGTTTTCCGCTAGGCTTTGTTTTTTCTCTTACGATCAGGTTCATGTTTACGACTTTCGTTCGCCTCTATGCTCGAATGTCCAGTCAGAGTAGTAGGTTCGTTGTAGAGGACCCACATATAAAGGAAACAAATGTGCGGCGCTTGGGTACATAGGCTGTGAGTGATTGGGTGGATGTCGTTTTTTTTTGTCAACGGTATTATAATTCGTGTGTTTGCATGAAACGAACATGAGCAAATCGCCCGCAAAATAGACAGTGACGGCAATGAAATAAGTATTGATCAAACGAAACAGCATTTCACCATTGTCAACGTTCACTACATCCGCTTTTTCGAACTTGCAGCCACGGTCCCACTCCTACTCGTCCCCTTCCCCCGTCTTTACAGGCACTTATAAATCCCCCACACTGCCCGTCGTCGTCTTCACCCCATCCCTGGTCTCCCCATCACACATCTGACATGGATGCTGACGAGCGTGCTTGGAGCGTGCTTTCCGGGTCGGGCGCGCAGCTGCTTTCCCCGGTGCTACAGTTGATAGAGGCCGCCCAAGTAAAGGCGCCACATGGTCCTATTTCCCCCCTTGCTCCTCATGATCATTATCGGGACGTCACTGCCTCCATCTCAGAGAACGTTTGAATCGGCCAAACGATGGATGCGGGCGTTTGGGGATGCTAAAAAAATTCCTCAGAGTGGGAAAGGTACCTGTCCATGTAGATCTGTTACGTAGCATTCACTTCATGAAATGTGAGGGGTGTAGTAACTCGAGGAATTTGTGGATGGGTGGACCTGGTTTGTAACTTAGTATCATCTTGCCCAGGGTGCTTTTATTCGGATTACGACATGGCCCCATAACGCAAGAATAACGCCTAGAATGTAGGTCCAAGATGACTAAGGGAATGAAGAGGTGAGTGGAAGACACAATAAGACAGGTGAAAATAGTTACCTTGGTCATCATGTGCAGAGAGCAACGACAATGTGGGCGTTCAGGCCCAGGTGTCAAACGAGCTGAGACTGTCGTTCCTGCTGTCACCCCAATGCATTGTGCTTGTTGCAGAAAACTGACATCCCTGCCCTTGTAAATGCAGGTTCACAAGCTCTCAGCATTTTGATACTAGGGACTCGGAAAGGAGAAACTGGGGTTTGTTACTAGCCTGCCAACGAGGCTGATGTCGGAAGGCGAGAGACGCAATGTTTTTTATGGCTTGAATTGAAGGGTGAGTTCGCGATAGCCACAGTGCAAAAGGACCCCCGGCAATAGCAGAAAAGGCCTGATCCCGAAAATGGGGGTTTTGTCCGGATGGAAAATATGTTTCCACGCGTATTGAACTCGGATTTGGACGTTTCAGAACATTGCGCGTCGAAAAGGTTTTTTTTTCTAGCCATTTTTGTCCCTTTTTGTCCGGATTGGGGGGATCTGGCCTTTTCTGCTATTGCCGGGGGTCCTAGTGCAAACTTGAATGGATCTGGAAGGCCCATTCAATGGAATGGCCCTGTGGACACTTGGTGGGCTCAAACGTCACAAGATAAGATAAGATGAGGGGCAAATTATTTGAATTTTCTATTACATATTCGGAATTTTATTAATATTCGCGTTGGTCAAGCTTTGGTCAAGCTGGTCACCAGTCAAGTCCACGGTTGACTCGTCCGACCAGCGTCCGACCGTGCCTGCCCCCATTTCATATTTTCAAAGTTAGTCCTGAGACTGCCAATCCATGTATGAATTGTGTTGCGAAGAACGTCCAATGGGCTCCTCCGACTTCCTGTCACCACTGCCGCTGGATTTACTCCTACACCTCTTCTCGTTTCTAGATCCCCTCCATATTATCGCTCTGAGAAAAGTGAGGCTTTTTTGCTGCATATCCTATTCTAAGAAAAGTGCTAATTCACCATAGACATGTAGAACTTTACATGAAGCCACGTTGCAACGCCAGGTTTGGTTGAACACCCTCCGACGCGTTTGTGTTGCGAATTCCGTCTTCGCGCCCTCTTTTCCTCTCACTGAGATGACCTTATTGGAGTTAGAACATGCTGCTGTCGTACCCTCGTTGTGGCGATCCATCGGCTCGGCCAAGCATGATGATCAGCCGTACAGGACTAAGCGTACCCTTCGCGGACCTACCAGCCATGGTGACGACGGCATAACTACGTGGGGCGACACTCTATCTGACTTATTCCTCGTTCCTGGTGGTCGATACCTAATCCTTTTTTTTGACCACCTAATGAGTGTGTACGACCTTGGAATTACGCCGGATACCTTATTGGATTGCAATACTCGACTTCTTGCATCTGTGGAAATTCAATTCAAGTGGCTGTTTCTGGTTCACCCCAGCCCAGATGGATCAGCTCTTCGTATTTGTGTTTCGGATGAGCTTGCTGAAGACGAGGATGAACAAATAGGTCAAAGTGCACAGTGGGTCATGTCTCATAATTTCAGCCAAGTTGCCCAGTTCTTATTCAAATCAGATCGTACAATCTTCAGGTATATGAAATATACCCCCATCATGAATGCCCCCGGTTGAAGTTACTTTCTCACTGGATCCTCTTGGGCTCTTCCACCCAACTATTTTCAATACGACTCAATCAAATAGTTTTTCTACGGAATGACATCCTGACAGTATGGGATTTTGTAGCCGACACGTCAGCAACGTGGCGCGTCGTAGGCGAATTTCATCAGGTGCGTTCAATGTTATGTTATGTTATACCACGCATTTTTATAACTTTTATGTATCGTAGATCATCATCGCCAGTGACTCGATTATTTTATTTGGGAGTACATGCGTTTCCGTGTGGCACAAACCAGCTCTTCTGCCTCGTGATCGTGCAGATACCACCTTGTCATATGTGGATGTCCCCATCATCCACCCACTCTTCCAAATCGATTATCCTGAATGCATGCCCCCCTTAGACGATACCCTGCAGGCAGAATCTTCTATTCAAGGGCCTTGGGACTGGTATAGTACGGAGCCTTGGTGTTGGTGTTACGACACTGTTCTCCAAAGGGAAGCCGGCTTTGCGATCTCGCGCTATTTGGTAGCCTTCAACAAGGATATGACTGGGGGCACCATCAAAAAGACCGCATGCTATGAGCTCAGGACGACTCTAGAAAAGGATTTTTTCATTGAACCCTACCGTGTATGCCACGATCAGCTAGTTATGTCCTGGACTGAGAGATCTGGCATCATCAAAATCCACACGTCCGCATTCTCTCAGGACACCGTAACTCCGGGGGATAACGAGCTGGCGTTGATGCTTGAGGAATGGAAAGGTGAACTCCTTAGTATATCACTCTGTCCGTTTTCCGCTAGGCTTTGTCTCTTCTTTTACGATGAGGTTCATGTTTGCGACTTTCGTTCGCGTCTATGCTCGAATGTCCAATCAGAATCGCGCACTTTCCTCGCCACTTCAGGCACTGGCGGGGTAGTTGGAGCCTGACATGGACATAGCGTTGTTATATACTTTGTCCAGCCCCAGCTCTTCCCCACCAGCCGAACGCGCGGGGGCTCGAAGGGATGGCCGTGAGTACTCAGAAGTAGTATGATGTACTACAGGAGTGTGCTTGTGGAGACATCAAGCTTTGGAATTTATCAAGAATTTATAAGTAGAATCTCCGCCTGTTACTTACAGTGTCTTTCACTGCCGTTTGCACACATGAATCGTAAATTTCGTGTTTGCTTCTGTTGTCCTCAGGGTTTTTTTGTCACACATTGGCCCAGAACGGATGAGTTGATCTTGGGGATCTTGAGTGAACCAGCGTCCGACCTCACTCTAGCCCTTGCCCATGGAAACTCAGGTCTCTGGATACATAATCATCTGGCATGAAGCAGAATCCCTTTCTCCTCGTGAAATTGCTGACCTTGCAGATGTTCAATTTGCCGTGACAAAAAACCCTGAGGGTAACAGGTACAACAGAAGCAAACACGAAATTACGATTCACGCTGTTCAAACGGCAGTGAAAGACACTGTAGTCCGTACTACAACTTCTGAACGCCAGGTGTCATTGGCTCAAACGTATCGGCAGTCCCCGAGCACATCTGAGCCAGGTCACAGTACCCCCCTTGTTGGAATTTCGGGAGCTTTTGCGAGCATGTGCAATGCACCTGTGACCTGATATACGAATCAAGGTACATTAGTGTTTTTCCGGGTATTTCATCTTTATTTCGTAGTCTACAGTATATATAGGAGAACTTGTATTGTAGTTACCCATCCGTTTGCCTCTGTCACCTCCAGAGACAACCGGAAATCTTACTCCCCTGTTTCTCTTGATCACGAAGAATTGACGCTTGCTGATTTGATTTCAACACCCCTTTCCAGAACTCCGTCATGGATCGTGCTATTAAGGACACCCAATGCGATCTTCTCAATGCGAGTGGCTTCTCCGGTTTTCCGTCACTTCCGCTGGATTTACTCCTACACCTCTTTAATCTTTTGAATCCACTTGATATCATCGCTCTCAGAAAAGTAAGAATACCTATCCCCATGTGTAAGAAGTGTGTTAATCTACCAAAGACATGTAGAACTCTACATCAAGCGACCTTGCAACGCCAGGTTTGGCTGAACACCCTCCGACGTGTTTGTGTTACGAACTCTGTCTACGCGCCCTCTTTTCCTTTGACCGAGATGACGTTACTGGAACTAGACAAGGGGGTGGCGGAACGTGGATCCCGGATATAGGGTTAGGGGGGGGGGCTCCGCTAGGGGGTCGAAATATTTTTTGTGACCTACTTTGAAAAAGTCTTGCCAATAAGCCAAATCGCGCTCCCAAAGAAGTTGGGAAGTTCAGATGCACGGAAAACCCCTAATTTACGTATTTACTGTCTGAAATTTTGACTGAGAGCCAAAAAAAGTCAACAAACTTTTTATAACGCTGCTCAGGTTCACTCACCTGTAGTGGCCACTATGATATATCATTTACCCTAACTACCCACTAACCTGATGCATCAGAGCCCTCAACTGTGGGGCCTGCCAGTTAGCTCCTACCACCTATACTATACACACTGCCTGCTGCTTGCCCGTCGTTGCTGTCCTCAACGCTGTCAGGGTTGTCGTTGCTGTCCTCATTGCTGTCAGGGTCCTCGTTGCTGTCAGGGTCCACCCTTCTCATCGACATCAGGGTCCTTCTCCATCAGGGTCCACTCTACTCATCACCCTCAGGGTCCTCATTCCCCCTCATCGTCGTCACCTTCCCCCTCGTCGTCGTTACCTTCCCCCTCGTCGTCACCAAACCCCCTCATCGTCGCTGTCAGATCCCTCGTCGTCGTTGCCGTCAGGATCCAGGCTCCTTGCCGCCGTTAGCTCCCTCACCCACTCTACTCATCACCCTCACAGTCCTCATTCCCCCTCATCGTCGTCACCTTCCCCCTCGTCGTTGACGTCAGAACCCTCGTCGTCGCCGTCAGGGTCCAGTCTCCTTGCTGCCGTCAGGGTCCATATTTTTTTGCTGTTGTTGTTCTCTTTAAATTTGTAGTCGACGTTCTTCTTCGTTGTCGTTGTTCTCTTTGTAGTCGTTGTTCCCTTTGTTATGTACATCAATGGTACAAGATATACAATAGCTGCCACTTTATGTTTTAACTGGAGCAAAGGTCAGCAATTTTTTTTTGCAAAAAATAAAAGAATATACAAGGACGAATTAAGAAATATTTATGTAAAAGTAAGGAGTTGGGAGAAAAACACGTTGAGCCCTTCCAATGAACAATGACACCCTCCCCCCACATGCATGAACCCCCCCTTACCCACAGGTCTGACAGTTTACTCGCTGACTAAGGCCTTAAATGCCTCCACGACTTCCCCCATGTGTTTCCTCCAAGCCGACGTTGGACCACAGGAGTCACCCCAAAAGAAAAGGGCAGCAACCACACTCAGAAGCCCGTTCACGCCAGGCTTCGCAATGGGCGACCAATCCCTGACTGACGTTACCGACTGAGCTCGCAGAAGACCACCCCACCATGCGCCAAAGTCTGCGTCGAAATCTTTATCGAATTTGACCGCGTTCTCCACCAAGGGACGCCATGATGACCGACGTGCATTCTTCAACCATTCCCCTATGCAGGGAGGACGTTTGGAGCTGGAGAGGTTCGGCTGCTTGTTCGTGGGCTTGAAGTCGTGCCGTCGCTCAAAGGCCTCCCAAAGACCAACCATTTTGAGCCACTCAGGGCCCAGATCCTTCGAACGGAGCATTGTTGAACATGGGCCGAACCAAGCAGGGGAGGAGGTGGTGTGGGTGGGCAAAAGAGAGGTTGACGACTCCACGTTGATTGCAGAAGGTCGGATAGAGGGGTCACTTGGCGTTGAGCTCAGTCCCACAGTCAGCTCCTTCCCCACTGGGACTGGGTTACTACCTCGAGCCCCAGCCTTGACGCCCGACTTCGATTTCTTCCCCCCTTTGACGGTTGTTGTCTGGTCCAACAATGCCCCCCTCCTCTTTTTCACAGAAGCCGACCTTTCGTGATCACCTGCCGCTGCCGCACCAACAGAAGCGCCCTTTTTCCTCTTTTTACCAGCAATAGCGTTGTCTTCTACAACAACGGCCGTTTCAGAGGCGACTGGCAGAGGGGGTGAGGAAATTGGAGACGGAGGAGGGGACGCTGCGCGCTCAGAGGGGAAAGGGGAAGAGGGGACAGGCACAGAACGTTCAAGGAGGCTGACTGCAGGTGGTGGGGTAGAAGGAGGGGATTCGTCCTGGGCCGGTGAGTCAAGGGCAGGCGTATGCTCGCGAGAGGGCGGTAAGCTGGGAGTCTTCAGGGCCGATACGTTGGAAGCGAGGCCCAAAGCCAATGGGTCGTCCATGTCCCAATCAGCCCTGTGTACTGTGATTTGATTGCCGTTGAGCAGATTGAGAAGAGAGTTGGGGTCGGATGATGGAAGGGCTTGAGCGCGGCATTCCGATTTAGCTAAGACGTTTCATGAGTAATCAACAGAAAAACGCCGAATGGAAGAACGTACTGTAGCACTTTCTAAGATAGCGGCCAAAGAGGGGAGTGACGACCCCTTGGAATCCCTCCCTCTCTGCCTGACCGAAGTTCATCTGCACTGGCCCTTTGACAGAGCCGGCGTGCATGCTACACAGAAGAAAGTTAGTTGGGCCTGGCTGCAAAGCCTTCAATCTACTCACCTGATAATGTTCAAACGACCTCCATCTGCAGGCTCTGGTCCACCCACCATAAAGGTGGCCTGCATGTTGGTGTGTCCGTGAACGAGGTCCAAAATTGGTTGCATAAAAATTGGAAGGGCCGCAATGCACCTAGAAGTTGTCAGAAAAAAACATTAGCTTTGAATCAAGTTACACACCTCTGTCGATCCTCTGGGTCTGTCGATGGAGCACTAGACAGCTTCTCCTTCCACACCTTCAACTTCTCGTCACCTTCTTTCTTGGCCATCTCGATGTACTTCTTGCGCTCAGGCAAGGGTAATGCGTCGAATAGATTCTTTGTGATTCGTGTGCGCTCTGCAGCTTGCAGATTCTTCGGCAGCGGCTTGTAGATATGTGCATTGGTATAGGCGTCATTGATTTTCTGTTTGTTGAAACGGCCCCACATGTTGTAGGCGATCGGAACCCGAGGTTTTGAAAGGCTGCTGCCTGTCAGTCTAGCCAGCATGATGACGGCGGGATCATCGGTATCAGGGAGCGAATCCTTGGATTTTGATAAGTTGGGAAGCTTCTTGTGTCGATAAGCTAGCCAACGCTTTATTTTCTAAGAAAAATATCGATTAGCATCAAGTAGATGGGAGACTCAACTTGGAAAGTGAGAGACGAGTTCCATCATGTGACACTTACCTGCCTCTTCTTTTCAATCTCAACCTGCCGATCGTTGAACTTCTGCAGGATCTCAGCGTACTCTTCCTCCAACATTGTCTCCTTGTTTGGTGGCTCTGGCTCGACTGGTGGCTACCACTTTTATGATAAAACTAAGGCAATTGCCTGTAGAGCTGTGTGTATAAGTCCACAAGTTTTATGAAAGGCATTTCATAGATGTGTCCTGTGTTTTCTTTCTCATAAAACATATGTTCTTTTCATAAGATATAGGCAAGGCCACAGAGTGCTTTTCATAATTAAACCTGTGCGCTTTCAATAGGTATTTCATTCACTGGGTTAGGTGTATTCATTGCCTTTTTCATAATTAATGGTGTGCACTTTCATTGAATATTTCATTAGGAATTTTGGGTGCTTTCATTGCTTTTTTCATAATTAATCCTGTGTGATTTCAATAAATATTTCATTCACTATGTTAGGTGTATTCAATGCCTCTATCATATCTAATGGTGTGCGCTTTCATTGAATATTTCATTAGGAATATTGGATGCTTTCATTGTACTTTTCATAATTAATGTTGTGCAATTTCAATAAATATCTCATTCCCTAGGTCAGGTGTATTCATTGCCTCTTTCATATTTAATGCTGTGCGCTTTCATTGAATATTTCATTATCAATTCTGGGTGCTTTCATTGTGCATTTCAATAAATATTTCATTAGCTAGGTTATATGTATTCATTGCTTCTTTCATAATTAATGATGTGCACTTTCATTGAATATTCCACAGCTTTCATTGGGATTTTTCATTGAGTATCTCAATATTTCATTCCAATTTCATATCTGCCCCCAGGGATATCATTATGATTTTTCATTATATTCCATGATAGCAATGAAATAGCTATTACAGTCCATCCAATGGGTCATTGGGAGGGTGGTCACATGACAAATTTCCAAAAATGGTAAAAAAACAAAAGTTGTAGCTCTTTACCATAGCTTCCAGAATCAGTTGGAATTATGTCCTAAAGTGCTTCCATTGTGGAGATATAAGGTAAAAGGTTTTCAAAAGTGCCGTGTTTTTTTTTTGTTTTTTGCATTTTTCTTCATGAAAAGAACACTAAACAACATGATTTCAACAGATTTAGAAAGCTAAGAGAAGGGGCTACAACTATTGTATCGTGGGAAATTTCTCCCAACAAGGAAGGTACATGCCCTAAAAGGGTAATTGACACTGACAGACTACAAAAGTAATTTATAGCCTACAAAGTTTACTAATAGACTACAAAAAAGACTACAAAAGTTGGACATAGACCACAAAGGTCAGACAAAGACTACAAAAATTAGTAGTGTCTGCTTTTCTCATTACAAAAGTAATAGTGTCCGCTTTTTGAGACTACAAAAATTAGTAGTGTCTGTTTTTTCAGACTACAATGGTTTGTAGTGTCCGCTTTTTGAGACTACAAAAGTTAGTAGTGTCTGCTTTTTCAGACTACAATGGTTTGTAGTGTCCGCTTTTTTCATTATAAAAGTTAATAGTGTCCACTTTTTGAGACTACAATGGTTTGTAGTGTCCGCTTTTTGAGACTACAAAAGTTAGTAGTGTCTGCTTTTTCAGACTACAATGGTTTGTAGAGTCCGCTTTGTTCATTATAAAAGTTAATAGTGTCCACTTTTTGAGACTACAATGGTTTGTAGTGTCCGCTTTTTTCATTACAAAAGTTAATTGTATTTGCCTTTTCAGACTACAATGGTTTGTAGTGTGTCCGCTTTTTTCATTACAAAAGTTAATTGTGTCCACTTTTCTGACATATAGTATGTAGTGTGGTTAACTATATATATATAGGTCATTGG